TATCATATGTGGCAGTACTGTTCAATGTTTCTTGAAAACATTACCCACTGTAGTATGTGACGTGTGAATAAATTCCAACTCTGTATCAACAACACTGTTGTGTAACTTCAGTTAAATACTTGTATGTGTGTAGATTAGAAAGAGGTAAGATAAAGGATCTGCAGTATTTTATGAAGTATTAATCGTACAAAGGTCAGTTTTATACAAGTAGAAGTGTGTATTTACCTGGTAGTCGGCTGTCAGTAATGGCTACGCCTCTCTATTTGGACTGGTAGATCTCGGCAGACTGGCAACTTTAAAAGTAGCTCTCGGTTCAAAAAAGGTTGGGCACCCCTGATGTATATACTCGCATTTTAGACTCTGTTACTAACTGTATATCTGTAGACTTGGTATGTCTTAAATGTCCGGTTAGGATGTATTAGAACGAAATCTAAAATGAAAATTGTAAATAAGCAATCTGTATGTAAAAAAACCACCTGTATGTAAATTGTAAATAAGCCATCTGTATGTCAAATATGTCTTATATGTCTTAAATGACATGATGAATTGGAAATGGGGGACCCTGATGTAAACAAGACGAAAGTCTTTCTCTGGTCTGCATCCCCTTAACAATTGTATGTTTTGAGCTGTACTGTACTGTACCCAATATACAAGCTGTTAATAAACTTTTCAATCAATCAATCAATCAATCACAGCCCGAACGCTCATCGAGATGACTGGATCACTCATGACAAGTTGTGATCAGCTCCGATTAAATTGTGATATAAATTCTTTAGCTATTCTCCAGGGAGCACGTTTTTTTAATGAAATACCTGTATCCCTCTCATCACAACAAGACTCTATACTGTGCAGGAAAAACAATTAGGCTATATGAAAATAACCTTGATGCATGGGAATGAAACACACAAACTATCTTCCGTGCTATAGTGATATGTCACAGTAACGGTCAACCACAGAAAAGTAAGTCCAGCGGGGCACAAGTTGAATATATATTATATACAGTAGTTCTATTATGCCTTTAAGCCTATACATTTAACCCATAAGAACCCAGACCCATTTCTACTTTTGGGGAAATTAAGGGGAACGTCATTTAGACTAAATAGACCACCTAGAACACATTTCTGACAAGTAACCCCCCCTAGTGTCAAATATCTGCGCTTCAATGGTAAAGTAACTCTTATTTATAACTTAATTAACGAGGATGATTTTTTGGTTTACATTTGTTTGAACATACTTTGAATTGAAGAATAAAGAATATGTTAACTAAATATAATTGAATCAGCTAAATTAACTGATCAGATCATAATCTTATTTCTAATTGTGCATATATGTCACTCTGGGTTTACTGTGAATGTTTAGGGCTAAAGTCCCGATGTGACACCAGTGTCACAGCAATATTTATGGCATTTGTTTCATATCAATTTAATCAAGAAATGTTTCCACAACAGGTTAAATGTAATCAGAATACCTTTATTCGTCCCACAGAGGGGACATTTACATTTGTTACAGCCGAAAAGAGCCGAAGACAGCTTAATGTTTAACAAATGGCATGTAAGCATTTTTATTCTTAAATGGCTTGAATGTTAACTTTAGCAACAAAAAACCTTTCCAAATGTAGCTAGTTCTGTCACATGTGTTAGCCTGGCACATGGACATCTTGGACATGTTGTTATGGGAACACAAAAGCAAATGACAAGGACCATGACCCACTAGACTGTTCAGGGTGTGTCACTTAGGGACTTCATGAGATAAAAAAGGCTGAAGCTGTATAAGGAACTTTCCAGAACATTTACATTTCATGTGACACCTGTGTCTTAGCAATTCTGTCTGCCTTCCGTGTTGCACCATGAGGACCCACTGATATAAAATGCTTAACTGCCTAAGTTGCAACTATGCACTTTTTGGTGGGCTAAGCCCCAACTTGACATATTTTTGGCTTCATTTATAGTGCCTGAATGTAAGTTTAAATATTATGCAATGCAAAGTTTTTCTTGGCCTACACTACCGTTATAGAAGGAAAGATAACAGTGATAGTTATGTTTCAGAATAACCTTTATTGGAAATTGTTAGAACAATCTCACTCGTCACAGGCTTGAGCTTCAACCTCAGGACCCATGTATCTGTGATCCTCTCCAGAATGGAAGTAGTCGTCACATACAGAGCATCAACTAGTTCCTGAACAGTGTCCTTCACATGCTGATATCCAAGAGAGGGAGTTACACAGTCACAAGATGGAGGAATATAAAGCAGTATTCAATGTTTACTTCAGATTAGCTCCACGTCAGAAATGATCATGCTTGTCATATGTCTATCTCCATATGCTGAATCATCATGTTAATCACATAGCTATCATATGCCTCAAACAGTCCTGATGCTCTTTTGGTAAAGTAACTCAAAAGTAGGCTAATATAAAAGTAGTGTAACTCATTACATTTAAGAGACAGTAATATTGTAATGTAACGTAGGCTATTACTTAAAAAAGACAGTAATAAGTAATTGTATTACATTTTGGAAGTAACTTGCCCAACACTGCAGATGATCCAGTCATCTCGTTGCTGCTTTCGGGCTGCGAATAAACAACTTGTGTTTTACTTTTAGGCTGTCTGAAGGTATGACCGCTATCAAAGCTACTATACAGATCACATTAAGAACAATGTACAAATGTTATATATGTATTCAACTTATGCCCCACTGGACTTACTTTTCTGTGGTTGACCGTTACTGTGACATATCACTATAGCCACGGAAGATAGTTTGTGTGTTTCATTCCGATGCATCAAGGTTATTTTCATGTATGTAATTGTTTTTCCTGCACAGAGTCTTGTTGTGATGAGAGGGATACAGGTATTTCATTAAAAAAAAACAGAATTTTATATCACAATTTAATCGGGGCTTATCACAACTTGTCATGAGTGATCCAGTCATCTCGATGAGCGTTCGGGCTGTGAATAAACAACTTGTGTTTTACTTTTAGGCTGTCTGAAGGTATGGACAGCTATCAAAGCTACTATACATCACATTAAGAATGATGTACAAATGAAAGTCGGACACAAATATATCATTTAAATGATTTATTCAAGTTTGCAATGTTTTGAACAGGCATCCACACAGTCACCTACTTTGTAATGTTTGATACCTCCCTGTAAGCGTCACGATATCCTCCTCTCACCCACAACCTCACATACGAGTACTGAATGTGCATCAAAGTGATCGTAGGAAGGCAGATATAGCAAAAGATGAACGTAAACGACAAACGAGTCGATCGACATGTTTATTTCCTGGTAAGTCAACAATGGGTCCTCAATGTACACGCCCCGGATTCCTATGACGAAAATAATAGAATGTCGCCAGTTGTCATGACTCAAGTTATACTGCAACACCGGAACCTCGCAATGGCTGCGGAGCTCATTTGCGCCACATTTGGGCCTAAGATGAGGTTTGAGTCTGCGTGATCTGCGTGTAAGGAGGGGCAGCAGCCATATCATTAGCTAGAACTAGCTAGATCTGATGGATTTGGACATAAATGCGAGTGAAGTATAACCGGATGCGAGAGAGAGAGATCAGCACCTGCAGCTCTGCCCGCTGTGAGGGACCGGTGAGCGGAGCAAAACACATCTTGAGACGTCACCTAACACATTTAGCTATGGCACAGTCGTATATATATACATTGAATTAATCAATTTGATAATATGTAATCAACTTAGGCATCACTCCCAAAAAAAAATATATATATATATTCATAACTCATATTCCACAACATGAATAATTATTCGAATACCTGAATAATTTCGAATATTCGATTAATCGTTCCCATCCCTAGTGCAAATGATATGTTTTAGCGTGTAAAGGTCATGATGTAAAGATGCATTAATTGTACAAGTTACCACCGTGTTATTCTGTTCAGTTATCATGTTTGTGTTTGAAAAGTGTTCCCCTTCCCGTCTTTTCTGTGTTGTCTCCTCCCCCCTCACCTGTGTCTGGTTGGGTTAATTAGTGTGGGTATTTAGGCTCTGTGTTTCCTGTTTTGTAGGAAGTGTGTGGGAGATCCTTGTGGCTGCTGACTGTGTTCAGGGAGGACAGTCATATTGAGGCTGGTGACTATGTGCACATGAGAAATAAATGCCCACACCGGGTTATATTTGAACTCTCTGCCTCTGCCTCCTTGCTTGGTCGGGCCGCTCAATTGTCAGCTGCAAATATTTTGAAAGCAACAAAGTTAAATGTGCCCCTGAGAGGATACTTGATCTGAGTTATGCTAATTATCTAAACTAATCTAACACACAGATAAAATAATACCATGCTCCAAAGCTCCAGTGAGTGATGTTGTTGGGGAAATACTGAATAATTTGAAATATTAAGCAGCAAATAGGACAAGTAATTAAGGCAATGCAAAGAAAAGCATTCAAAACAAGCATCTTCGGAGGTAATGACTTGAGGAAATCAATTAAACCCAAGAAAGAATACAAAAAAAACATAAAATCTCTTTTGGGGAAAATGCTTCTCGAGCTGTAAAATTGAAAAACCTTAAAATTGACAACATGACAAATTGGTTGCTGAAAGAGTCCAGAGAGCAGACGGAAAGTTTGATTACAATTAATTGGTGTTGAGAGCGGACTCTTTGACACTGCTAACACAAAAAGCACAACATGCTACTTGATTGCATGATTCTGATGGGTGTCATTTGTCTAATTATTACATTTATAAGTTCAACTCTGCATAATCATTTTACAGACATGTAGCTTGATAGTAATTCAATATTTAATGATAGAGAAAGTCACAAACTCAACAGTTTTCTTTATAAGATAGCACATATTTAGAATGAACCCTCATTTTATGTTTTGGGCTCTCTTTAACCACTCCAAAGTATAATTTTAAAGCTTTAAAATTGTTATACACTCTTAATAATTCATTACTTAATTTTCATTCAGTGCTGCATTACCTTCTGAGCCAAAGCAGACGAAACTAGGTAAACCCATAATAGTCACACTTGTGGTCCTTACCTGTGAGTTGGGTGCTTGTGATTGGTGCAGATGGCTGTCTGGTAGTCGTGGCTGACACACACCTTGTGGCGGGGGCAGCGCACCTTCAGACAGGGGTCTTTGGTGGCATCTGGACCTACAGGGAGGGATCAGGGACAAACTTAATTTATGAGCTGCTCAATACGTTTGGTGGAAACATGCACAGCACGTGAGTCAGCACAATGTAGTTCTGCAAATGAGAGTTGATGCAGCAACACATCAAGCTGTTTGTTGGCAGATTATTACGGTCCACTAACTGAAGCAAGAAGACAGTAAATGTTGAGTTTTCCGCGGTGTGAGCTGCTTAATGAGGACTATTTTCTCTGAGCGGTGACCCCATCTTCTTCCAAATCAATCTCTGCAGTGACATTATTACTTTGGCAGCCAGGCACAGCTGTCCAGAATGAGAAAAGAACAAAGCAGCAGATCATTTCCCACTTGGCTAACAGCACAAATCCACTTCCCTTTGACAGACAGACAAAAAAAAAGCAGGAGGTGTAGGAGGTGGAGAAGACACATTGACAGAAAAATAAACGTAAGCTTTATCCTCAGCAAAAAAAGAAAAAACACAACGATGTGTGTTTAATGAAACGAGTACGCATTGTATGTGGAGGAAGGTGCTGAGGACGGATGTGAGAAAGGAGACGAACGTGGAGGAGGAAGCTGTTTGTGTTGGTCATTCAGGGACGGATTAGTGAAGGACGGGAGGGAGGGCTCGTGGGAGGTGTGTCTCAAGATAAGTTACGAGTCAATTATGAGCCATCAGTATTCATTAAATGTTAAACATGGGCCTAGAAACCATTCTGAGCTAAGTATTGTGGAGTTCCAAATCGTATTCTACAGAAAACATTCAGAATAATGATGTAAAATGAACTTTCCATGCAATATTGTGATGCATTTCCCGATTTCAATACCAGTCATAATAACCCAATTAGATATTTTGGTTACAAATCCTTCAACTTAATGTATACATACATGGAGCTGATGTATTTGGTACGTGGCTCATATACTGTAGGCTGAGATAGGAGTCCAGATGGGAAAAGAAGATGCAGAAATAGTCAGAAATATAAATGCTGATGTCAAATTTTGGGTATAGGAGGGGGAAAAGGGAGAGAAACTAGTGGGTGGGTATAGACCATAGACCCAGCTTGGTCAGCCAGTGGTGGGGCCCCCAATGTCACCTGTGGGGCTCTTGGTTGCTGTGCGTTGAGAAATACTGGAAGGAGCAGAGGCTGTGCTGGCTGTGGATTGGGATGAAAAGGATGTGGGGATTTTGTGAAGCCTGTGGAAACAGGGATGCAAAGAATGATAAGCTGTGCCTGCTCCACAGAGAGAGCCGACACAGGGGGAAATAAGACCTGGCTCTGAAGGGGCGGAGGTTCTGTGATTTCATATATGACCAATGAGGTGTGGAAGAGGGATGAAGCATGTATTTGTTGTTGCTAGAGTAAAGTGTTAAGACAGGCGTTGGTGAGAGGCAACAATCCCAATCCTAGAGTTCCGATTGTGGATATCAGGAGGGCTTTGCGTTGAGGAAGGCTCGTCCTCTGCACTCTGTTAGATTGCTGGGACCTGTAAGGGGGTCAGTGGGTAAGGAGAGGGATGAAGACGGATCTTGTGACTCTATCTAAGGCAGCTTCTCTGCAATAGTAGACCGAAGAAGTGTGATCATATTGGAGTTGCACAGATTTAGTTTGGGGAGTTTGGGATCCATGGTGAGTCCATTTGAACGACACATTAATCAAACTTTTTATATTGATGCAATTAAGCACGAAACATGGTCTGTGATTATGATAGGACAGCAGAAAGCTTACACATTTTCCAGCGCAGACTGAAAACTCATCTCTTTCGACTCCACTTCGAGCAATAGAATTACTAACAAATAATTGCTAACAATTACACTAATAAAGGACTGGCTTACTGTATCTAAAGCCAGTTGAGTAGCACTTGAAATGTTTTGTCTCTATGAAACCTGATGTACTTATATGATTCTGTTTTCTTCAAGTTTGTATCTTCTTGGTTGAATGCACTTTGGATAAAAGCGTCAGCTAAATGCAATGATAAACTAAGAGAAAGTTACGAGGAAGAGTTAAAGAGGTCTAAGAAGGCTTGACAGATGATTGGAGGCGAGGTTCAATTTTAAATGTCATTATTCAAATGAAGTGAGAGAAGGGCCAAAATCAGGCACTTAGACTGGAGGTTGTGTTGCCCCAGTACATCACAAAGGATTTACCAGAAAGAGCCCTCTCAATGAACAAAATCAGCCAAATGAAAACAATTTATGAAAATTATGATGAAAGACAAAATGGATTTGAAATGAGGGAAAATGGTGAAAACTAAAAACTAAATTCAGTAAGTTAATTAACACAGTGCAGAGTACAGATCAAAGCCTTGCCTTGTACAAGTCTACGAACACCATTAAACGGGACTGGCCTTGTCTCCATTAGGGGCCTAATGGGTTATGTTTGAGCCACAGCTGGTGTCTGCTGCGAACATCAACTCGTTTCTGTCCTGATCCCACACACTGTGCTGCAGACGACATGCTGGGTTTTCAGCGTTAAATCAGCCAGAGAGTCAAACACTATGTCGGTTTTCTTGTTTCCCCTCACAGTTACTCTGTAATATCAACAACCATCTATAAGAATGGATGAACACCTACACATACCAGATCTTACCATACATAACTCTGAACATATCTGGAGGTGTCTCAGGATATGGTAGAGCTTTCTTTATCTTTGGGAATGAACACACACGATAAAGATGGTAAAGTGACGTGTAGATAGTCTCATGAGAAGAGATACAGTGCACACATCCGTCATAAATGAGCAACACACCTGTTTCCTTACAATCTGTGAAACACATACACAGATACAAAAAACGCATCACAAGCCTGCATGCTCCTCTCATATCCCCCAAGAATGCAGAACCATGATATTTAACCTTCCTCTTGATAGCTGTCGGCTCTGTATTTCTATTGCCTGCTTATTTGGGAATGTCTTCACCTCCATCTATCAGCGCTGCAACTTCACTTTGCTGGAAAATGACTTTATCTCCGTGCGTAAATGAGAGATGAAGAAAGAGAGGAGAGTAGGAATCGGGGAAAAGGAGGCTCGTATCCGGTTAACAGGATTGGAGGACAATTTAGGATTAGTGAGTGACCTTAACTCAGAGACAAATTGGAAATCGGACACAAACTAAAGAGCAACTTTATAATGGCACACAAGTACCCAGAGTATCACATGTATGTGATAATAGACAGAAATGTATCGTAAACAGTAAAGCCCGTGTCACACTGTCCCGAAATTCACACCCGATGGACACACGAATATGGAATTGTGAATTTCGCACGAAGATGGCCTCGAACCACACACGAAGGCAACATTTACATTACATTTAAGACATACAACTGCAACGAAAGTAAGAAAAACAATTATGTTACAGTACTATAATACTGTACTGATATTTTCAGACTTTGTTCTTTACTTTCTCCGTCTTTATATGTAGAAGATATTAAGTTTTCTCCGTCATGTTGTTTCCATAGCAACAACAACTCGCCTTCAAAACATTATATCCTTTTCAGTTTCACAGAACACAAATTGGGTTATTTACATAATATGTTTACATGATTTTGTTGTGCAATAAAACAACCAGATGGACACACGATAAAGGAAATATTCAAATTCGGCTGTGATCGTAGCAACATCGGGCCATTCGTGAGGGCATCTTAAGCCATCGTATGACCGCCGGTGGAGTTTCTCAGGCTCCGGCAGCAACTTCGTGAGCGGTGGCAAAATCTTTGACATGCCAAAAAATTGCCGAAGGACCTTGCGAAGGTTCATTTCCATGTTTAATTTGTGTGTCAATTTTGCCCTTCGTAAGTCCAACGTGAGGGCATCTTGTTATCATCGGTGCCATCGGGCATTCGCCTCGATCAGAGTGAGGGCGAATGCACCGATGGCACCGATGATAACACGAAGATGACACGACTTGACAAGATGCCCTCACGAGTGCCTTACAAAGTTGCCGCTCACGAAGTTGCTGCCGGAGCCTGAGAAACTCCACCGGCGGTCATACGATGGCTTAAGATGCCCTCACGAATGGCCCGATGTTGTCACGATCATAGCCGAATTTGAACATTTCCTTTATCGTGTGTCCATCTGGTGTCAATTTCGGGACAGTGTGACACGGGCTTAAAAAAAAAAGTTAATCGAACGAAATCGTTCTCTGCTGACGTGATTTAAATATTAATGGCATCTATAGGAGGAGAGGAGAAAATAGTAAGAGAAGAAGAAAAGCAATAAGGAGAAGAAAGAAGAGAGGGGAAATAGAGGAGAAACGAGAAGAGCAAAAATGACGGGAGGAACATAAAGAGGAGAGAAAAGAGTGAAGGGTAGAAGAGAGTTTTATCCATCTATTTAAAGCTCCAGTGAGCAGAGTTGGTGGTTAAACCAGCCGATCAATTGTAATACAGGAGCACTGCAGCACACTCTTCCATTTTCCTCAATACGGGTCTCTCATGTCCTTTCATTCCCCTCTCTTCTTTCTAATCTTATTCTTATCCCTAACTGTGTGTGTGAGAATAAGTCAACAACTTTACTTGCCTTACTGCATATCTGCGTTTTCTAAAGAGCCAAGCAAAACTAATTTTCACACTCAAAACCACAGCTTTTACCTTATAATATGATTGATCTATGCAAATGAACAAGGTTGTCTGCGGCTGATAAGAAGTCGCCAAAAGTACAAGTATAAATGATTTGTGTGTGTGTGCGTGAAGTATAATGATTCTTCATCAGATCCTGCTTAATGGAGAAGCTGTGAAGACGCAGTGATTTAAAATTGGTTTGGATGAAAAAAAAAACAGGGAGGAACAAGTCGTGTTTGTTTTCTATAATCTTACAGCTACGGTGTGTGAGCAAGAGCAACAGTTCTGCACACATACACCACCACCAATTGTGTGCAGCCATTGTCCTTGGCTGTCTGTAAGGTCGCCTGTTAACCCTGAGTGCTGGGTTACCCGTCTGTGGAGGTCAGACAGATCCAAGCTGAGACTGAGGGTGGCGAGGGCACAAGACAACAGCAGATCATTAACAAATGGAA